GGGGGGGGGGGGGTGCGAAGAAGAGCATTTCGTACACCAACGAGTGTGCCGGAAGGTGCCCGGCTATTGGCAATTGTGCCAACCTGAAGGAAGAGAATCCACCCGACAGCAGCTTCAGCTTCTGTCGAGATTCACCTCTCGGTACCCGCCCGTTGTTTTTGGACATACATGCACGCACGCTTGCCCTTCCGCGAAACAGACACCCCGATGTGGTAATACATACCAACCTTGGTTGAACCCGCCGTTCAGGGACTCCACAGACATGTACACGAAAATGGCAACGCGGGCGGGGCTGTCGTATTCTACATCTCTTTAGGGCGGGTAAATATAGAATGGCGGTCAACACGAGATTGAGCAGGCGGCAGGCATCGGAAGGACGCAGACCTGACATACCCGGTGTTTCCCCCCTCAACACAACGGGCTCGAGGACAGAAAACAATTTCGGATACTACAACTATGCCGAACTGCCCCCCACACATTTACGACCCACACACCTTACACGTCCCTTTGTGGTACTTGCAGCATACTCGTGCCTACCGAATGTGGAGCGTTTGTCTAGCCGGGATGCCCAATCAACCCGGGACATATCTGGTTTGGCACGGCAAACGCAAGCAAGGATGATGACCAGCTTCTGGTTCATTCTTGGGAAACGTAGCCTGGGCCGGCGGAAACCCGGCATATCGCTCCGTGCCGGCGTTTTCGGGATGCGAGGTCAATGGTCTTACGACTGCGGCATGCGTTTACATGAGTATACACCCCCTCTACCTTGGTCGCCCCGGTGGTCTAGTAGTATCCTCGTAATCCGCCTGTCGCAGAGGTCGTGAGTTCGAATCCCCATGGGGTGAAAATTTACGTAATATGCGAGTGAAAGCGAAATATAGCTGACAAGCTCTCGTGAGTACCAAACTTCGACGTAAGCACCGTTGACGAGGGAAAGGGACGGCTAGACCCTTCTCGCGATAAAAATAAAATTCAGCACGCACCGCAGGAGGAAGATGGGGTATGAAGAGAAATAAAAAGAAGAAAAAAGCCCAGGTGTTAACCCCCTCCTGTGTGACCCTGGATGGTTGTAGTTGTACGAAAAAATACACTGAAAAGTGCAGTACACGCCTCACCACGAAAAATTGGGGGACTGTCGCCATAATAAATAGGACGAAAACACACACACACACACACACACCTTGCAGCCGATAGCAATCTCCGCATTCCTGCATGTTATTGTTCCTTGCTTGGCCTTGTCTTGCCGTCATCTGCTGCTCTCGTCGTGTGTGTGTGCGCGCGCTGCGTGCGACGGTGAGCTCAGGGGTTCGGGGAGGCGCACCCGCACAACCCCAAGGTGGTAGCCGACATGACGTCACTGCACCACATCCACGAGGCCGGCATCTTGCACAACCTGGGGCAAAGGGCCCAGATCAAGGACCAGAAGGCCTACACATTCATGGTGAGAGACGCTTGCTTTTTGCGTGCCCCTTGGGGGTGGCCCCACAAAATGCACATCAAAGGAATCTTTCTACATTTCAAGAGTCCAGGATAGGTTTGCAATGATGTCAACCCATCTCTTCTCGGGTGGGGAATCGCGACCATGACGAGCTTTGGGGGACTCTCGTGCCAGCGTGTGGGTCTTCCACGTTGGTGGTCGTGCTGGGTGTACGTTTTGAAGATTTCGGTAGGAGCCAAGCAACAGTGGTTAGTGTTGTCGCCTTGTTTTGTTGCTCTTCGGGATCCCGCCGACGCCAGCGCTCCTGCTGCTGCTGTTGTTTGCTGTTGTTGTTGTTGTTGCTGCCGCTGCTGCTGCTGCTGCTGCTGTTGTCGATCCCATGCTTTTGTCATGCAGAGTCCTGTGGTTGTCTATCCCTATCCCTTTCTACGCAATGCGCTCGTTCCATCTTGCCCCCCCAACCTACACGGGTAGGGACAACTTTTTTGAGCCACCGTTTGGCCACGTGGAAAGGAACGATTGTCCATCGGTGATGCGTTTTTTAGGAACAAACTGTTAAGGTATGCAAAACATGAGTGCGTCCCCCCCCCCCCCC